AAGTGGAATCCCGTCAGAATCCACTCATGCTAGCAAGAGATCTGCAGTATATATACTTTCCTTGACTATTCATTGTGTTAAACTTTAACTATATTAATTTTTCTTCTGTCTCTATGCCTGCAGTACTGCCTGTATTATTATTTTTTAAAAGTTTTCTGGATAGTATTATAATATTCATTTGTTTTGATTTGAGTCAGGCATTTAACTGTCTTTCTTTCGTTTTGTCCAATAGGTGGTATGGGCCACAAGTAGCAGAATAGGTTGTGCAGTTAATTTGTGCCATAACATGAATGTCTGGGGACAAATATGGCCAAAAGCCATTTACCTGGTGTGCAATTATTCTCCCAAGTAAGTATATATGACAGATTAAGAAGTTAGCTATGGTACATTGGTACACAGAGATAGGTATAAAAGAACCCCAGTGCCATTTTTTAAAAAACAGAAAAGCTATTGGGAGGGTTACTTTGGGAGGGTTGGAACCCATGGCCCACCAGATGTTGTTGGACCAGATGTTCAGCCCCAGATTTGCCCCAGCCAAAGGCCAAATGGTTAGAAATGATGGGCGTTATAATCCAACATCTGCAGGACCAAAGATTAGTAGTCATCCCTGGACTACAGAAATGTTGGGGGTGGGAGTGCTTTATTATTTTCCCACACAAGCTGCTTTTTAATCTCATAAGGTACACATGGGTTTGTGACAATTTAACACCCCGCTCTCACCACCATCATGTTTCTATTCCATATTCCCAATCCCTAAGGTTTCTTTTCTTTTAGCGTTGGGGGGAGGTCTGCTACATTTATAAATATATCAGTCACTCCCCATGTGGCTGGGTCATTAAAATATTACCCCAGCCACATGGAAGCTGGTCACAGAAAATGTACCTGTTACACATAATTAAACCTTGACACCTGTGTTTATTTCGAATGGACAAAGGAACTTTTTAAAGAAGGCTTTCAATTTTACATTTCAAAATAAACATTTTACAAACTTTAAAATAGCCAATGACTTCCCTTCTTCTCCTTCCATGGTTCATTTTATGTATCATACATTCCTGCATATTTTGCTATAACCATTCACATCAGTTTTCCACTTTTACATCCATCAAAAATTATTTACTCTGTTGAATTTATCTTAGTGCTGCCAGCGTTTTCAGCTGTATACAGTTATTTTCGATAAATGTTTTCCACTCTTCTTTAAATGTATATTCTTCTTGCTCTCTTATTCTCTGTGTTAAATGTGCAAGTTCTGCATATTCTATCAACTTAAGTTGCCAATCCTCTTTAGTTGGGAGCTCATTCACTTTCCAGTTTGGGGCTAACAAAACACAGGCTGCAGTTGTTGTATACATAAATAACCTTTTGCATGCCCAGTTGCAGACCCCTCATCCCCAGGAGCCAGGCCCAGATAAATAAGACACAATGCAGCATAGTTATGGGATTAAAATTAGGTCACAACTTTATTAAATTTCAGATGTAGGAAACCTTGGCTTAGGCATTGGGCATGTATCCCTCTCAGCCCCCAATTGGGGGACACTGCAAAACATGTGTTTACGCAGCCCCCCCCCACTCCTCCAGTTCTGGGAGTTTGACCATACACCAAGCACTCACGGTCAGTGACTCCCAGCATAAACCCCTCTAACAGGGCCCTGCTAACAATCATTTTCAAATAATTCTCTTTCAATGAATTTTCAAAGCTTCTCCCAGAGATTAAGATCTATATTGTGTCCTATATCTATTGCCCAGTATGTCATTGGAGCTTTACCTTGCTCGTTTTTTGTTTCCCATTCTAATAAAAAATTATGCATTTTAGACAGAGGTTTATCCTTATTTTGTAAGAGTTCTTTTTCAAATTGTGAGCTTTGGTCCAGAAATCCATTCTTTCGATCTAATTTAAACATGTCATATACCTGGTGATATTGCAACCAATCCGTAACTTGGCTCCTTAAGTATTCCATTGATTTCAGTCCCCCCCCCCCCCGTACAACCCAGCAGTTCCTTGTAAGTCACCCATTGTCTGTCCACAGGCAAAGGAACATTTAATCCATTAGGTAACAGAGAAAAATCAGACTGAATTTTCTGTTTTGAGTTTCTGTAATGTGTTGCATTGTTTCTAGTGGAGCTTTGACCCAGTGCAATGGTAACACGTTTTGAATTTTGCAAGCTCCAACCTAAATCTGTTTTAGTCCAAAATTACAACATTCCAAGCATTCTCGAAAATCTGCCAGCTCCATTTATATACACAATCTGCTCATTTTACAACAGATGATTAGAGGGGATTTGATTGGCAGCAGTTCACCTGCATTATGGTAATTTTGCATGGTGTTAAATAAGGCTGCACTCGGCTACATTCTTCCTTGGCTTTGGAACAGCATGGGCAGAGCAGACCTATACTCCAATTTTTTGGGGGTTTGGGAGGGGAGGGAGATATGGTGCTACTGTGCTGGCAGAATGATAGTCACGTACTGTACCCAAAGGAGTGGAGGGACAACCATAAATTTCCCATAAGGAGAAAAATAGCAAACACCACTTCTCCCTCCCAGACACCTCCATGGAAACACCACCAAAATATGCTAAGGAGGGGCTGTGCCAGACAGGCACTTGCATGACAGACTTGGAGGGATCCAATGAATTCAGATCCCAGGAGCAGACCCACAGCACTCTCCCCTGCGTTGCTGCACAACATGGAAAATTATACCCCAATGCTCCCTTTCCACAAGGGCCATTGGCACTCACATAGGCAGAATCAACCCCACTATTGTGAGTCCCCAATGATCCTTCCAAGCAAGGGTTTGAGTCTCCTTTGTGTGGCTCATGATCAGCATTTCAGAGCACAGCACACACAAAGAGAAGGAAAAAGATCCCACACAACGCTGTACCCACATAGCTTTCTGGGCAGGAAGCCTGCATAAAACACATACAAAGAGTATGTACCCCAATGTATCCTCTCTTCTGTTCTCATTAGGAAAAATAAAAAATACCCCTCAGTTTGGCAATTATCAATCTCAGCCCTCATTTGTGAAATCAAGCAATTTCCTCTGTACCTTTGGCTCTACCAGCAGGAAGGATAATCTTCTGAGCATGTTTCTGGCGATTAGCTATATATGTTGCAGCTATAGATCACGTTGTCCTACTTACCAAATGCATTAATTGTGCCTGTAGCTCAATAAAATACTATATCAAAAGCTTATTAAGGCCTGAGAATACATGTCTCTGCCCTCCCTGCCCCCAGGCCATTTAGGGTAATGCTTTGGAAGCAAATCTACCATTCATGGCATGTTGCCATAGCTATAGCTGTGCCACTCTTACAGCACCATCTAGGAGGTATGACTTGTGCCCCCCTAAAAAGCAGTCCAGGTGAACCAACCACCCCAGTTGGGTGAGAGGAAGTTTCACAGTCACAAGTGCCTGTGTCCTTATTAGGTCAGTGATAGACCTTTTAAACTGTGCAAAGCAAAATATTTATCATGAATATATTTCACTAAATAGCATTTCTCCCCTAGGGGTAATTGGTGGGGGCATGCACCATACAAGCATGGTCGCCCATGTTCTGCATGTCCACCTAGTTTTGGAGGAGGCTGTAGAGAAAATCTTTGTTATAAAGGTGTGTATTCAGCAAATTAAATTGTATCTGCTGCCACTTTTCTTGGTACCCAAGGGAAAGGGAAGGGATCATTTGATTCCATGGGAATTCTATGTGTTGGTCAAAGGCTTATTCGTATTTTTTACTCCACATGAAGTGACTTTGATGGTCAGAAAAACATAATGAATATTTGGCTTTAACAATTTGTACCAAAAAGCTTTTGCAAATCAACACCTATATCATTTCATCTTTTAAGAAAGACCAAAAATCATGCAATGAATTCATTAACAGTGCAATCCTATATATGTCTATTCAGAAGTGAATCCTACTGGGCTTACTTTCAAGTCAGCAAACATTGGATTGCAGCCTAAATTTATCCTAATTCAGAACCTTCTGAACACAACAGAAGGCATTTTCACACTTTCTATCTGGCGATAAAATGTAGCATACCGTGGTTTGCATACATCTTGGTTTGCACACCTTTTGGATTACAAACACATCAAACCCAGAAGTGTGTGTTCTGGTTTGCAACCTTTTCTTTGGATTACAACCCATTTCTTTTGGATTATGAACAATTATTTTTGGAGGCCCCATTGGTGAAAGTGCACCTTGGGTTACAACCTGTTTTGGTTTACAAATGGACCTCCAGAACGGATTATGGTTGTAAACCAAGGTACCACTGTAATTGGAGTGCTGACCAACATGTACTTATTAGAATATGAGTAAAGAACTTCCCTGCGTAGAACTGTACTTGAATAGATTTTTCTCTGTGTAATCTGGAATGTTGCCTTTGCAAGCTTCCTGAGTCCATAGAGCAGGCATGGGGAAGCTATAGCCCTCCCGATGTATTTGGACAACAATTCCCATCATACCTGGCCATTGGCTGGGGTCAATGGAAGCTGGAGTCCAACAACATCTAAAGGGCCATAGGCTCTCCACCCCTCACTACTATAAACTGGCTCTCTACAGACATTATAATGAACCACGTATATTGAGGAAAAGCCTATACCTGTGAGGCTGTCTCTCCAGTGCACCTTCAGTCTCCAGATTGAAGAGGATAATCTCTCATTGTGTCAGTAGCTTTGCATCGTAATACATTTACTTTTGTTTGTAACCTTCACTTAGTGACATGATAGTAAAAACAATTATCACAAGCCAGCCAGTATTAAACATTTTTAAGTCCCATTAATTGTAGTGAGAGATATTTACTCCCAGCAGGGCTTGGAGGTTCTAAGTACTAAGCTACATTTGTATGCACACAAGCTCCATACAGTGGGACTTACTTCCAAGTAGACCTCCATTGGATTGCTTTGGCTTCCTCATGGCCAGTTACAAGGCATACTTTCTATTCCATTTCTGATTCACAGGAATTGACTGTTGTTTAAAAAATGGCATTTGTTCCATTTGTTTGCTATAACAGAAGGTTCAGAAAGACGTTACTCTCCAGAGATGGAAACCAATGAGATTGAACGGCAGCAGTCACATGTTCAGGATTCATCACAAAATCGATTAAGGTCACATGCAGCATCTGATGATGGTGACAGAAATGAAGTCATAAGCAAACTACAAATGTGTAAGTCAATTTCATTTTTATCACCAGTTTCATTTTGTTGTTGGTTTTTTCTAACGCTGTGGGACACTGCAATAATAATGGCCACTTTCTCCCCCAGCTCAAATTGTTTCCTGTGAAGTACGGCTAAGGGACCAGTGCAAAGGAACAACTTGTAATAGGTAGGGCATCCTTCCAGTTTATCCAGAATCCATGGGTTTACATGCATTTTTAAATGTTATTGTTTTTGCCATTATTCTCAGATCAAACTGTTTTCCTCCCTAGGTATGAATGTCCTGCTGGCTGTTTGGACAGCAGTGCCAAAGTAGTTGGAAGTGTACATTATGACATGGTAAAAATATTATAATTAACACTCACTGTAGCACCATTTGATTACATTTTTTTTTATCTAGGAGGTTAGCTAATGCACACTATCATTGACAAAACATTATGTAAACAGAACTGGGTGAAAAGTAAGCTAAAATTGATAGAAATATCTGAGGATAACTGTTTGGTGAGATTTTACTCATGATCTCATTTTGAGCTGGAGATTTAGTTAGCACCTCACGTAGAGAATTCACAAGTATAATCAGTCATACTGGGTCGTATCCAGTGTCTTTCATATTCAGAATAGATATGTTGAAATCGATTGACCTGATTAACTCAGGTCCATTGATTTCAATAGGGCTATTCTGAGTAGAACTTAGTTGGACACAACCTAATATATCTCGTATCATTTGCTAACTCATCTTTGATATCATAAAACTGAAAATGACTAATAGATGACTGACTTGCAGTATGCCAGAATATAAGAAAAACACAAGAGTTTGCTTTGAAATAGAGGAGCTCCTCCTTTTGGAAATGTCATGGGGGAAATAATTGTTCGGCTATGGATCTTAATTTCTGTTCCTGTGTTTTTCTATCATAGCAATCAAGCATTTGCAGAGCTGCAATACATTATGGCATCCTAGATAACGATGGTGGCTGGGTTGATGTTACCAGGCAAGGAAGAAGAAATTATTTCATTAAATCCTATAGAAATGGAGTTCAGTCAATTGGGTGAGTAAAAATACAAATATTCAGTCACAAATGTTGTAGGTAGATCTCAGGTTTTTAATATATTAGCCTATAAGCATGGGACGCGGGTGGTGCTGTGGTCTAAACCACTGAGCCTCTTGGGCTTGCCGATCAGAAGTCGGTGGTTTGAATCCCCTTGACGGGGTGAGCTCCCGTTGTTCAGTCCCAGCTCCTGCCAACCTAGCAGTTCAAAAGGACGCTGAAAAGTGCAAGTAGATAAATAGGTACCGCTCCGGTGGGAAGGTAAACGGCATTTCCGTGCGCTGCTCTGGTTTCACCAGAAGCGGCTTAGTCATGCTGGCCACATGACCTGGAAGCTGTCTGCGGACAAACGCCAGATCCCTCGGCCATGACTGGACCTAACAGTCAGGGGTACCTTTACCTTTACCTAAGCATATTTATATATATATATAAAAATCAAAACCAATGTAAATCCTGTTTTTCTGCCATATAAAGCTGCTTTTATAATCAAGCAATATATAAATGTGAAATTAAAATATATATCCTGAGCAGAGATTTTGTTTTACCATATAATACTTGTCACTGTTTACTGTTATGTTGTAAGATAACATAGTATCTATGAACCTTGAATAGTAATCAGAAAATTGCCTCAGTAGTTATCTCAATGTTTCTGAAATCCTCTGGTCTTTTGAAGTAACGTGGCTGTCGCTACATTCATCTCCCCCAAATTTCTGCATTATAATTTTTGCCATCTCTTGTTCAGTCAGTGGAACTTTAGGCTGAATCAACACAGTTAAGGATTCTCCAGCAGGTTTAAATCAATCACTTGACTTTGTGTTGGATGCTCTTAAATGTTTAGCACTTAAATGCATATTTATGCAGCCTCATTGAATTTATTTATTTATTTAGAAACCTAAAGCTGCATTCTTATTCAAGCTTGGGAATGAGATGCATTGAAGTTAATGAAATCTGCTTCAGAGAAGACATGTATAACACTACACTATAAGTTAGAAAGATGCTTGCAGAGTGGATTTCTACACAGTTGTAGAAGTATTCAAACAAAATATTTTTGTTCCATTTTCCAATTAATTTGTGCTCCTTTTGCTCAGTTATTAAAAATGTTTGTGGTAATTGCTTTATGATTTCATTGTACATCACTTTGGAGAGCATACATAAAGCAAATATATGGGTGTTGGTAATAATAGCTACGTTTCTGTTTTTATTGTAGCAAATACCAGTCTGCGAATTCCTTCACAGTCTCTAAAGTGCCAGGTTAGCATTAATTTATATAATACAGCATTACTCATTCATTAATGTATATGTCATAGGTTAACATTTATTTGAGTATGCTTTTTAAAATTTCAGTGCAAGCTATCACTTGTGAAACAACTGTGGAACAATTATGCCCATTTTACAAGCCAGCCACACATTGCCCAAGGTAAGCTATTTAATTATGTCTGTTGTTTAATTGCCATTCCTATCACAATGCAGGGGAGAGGCTATTACAAACCATATGGTGATGTTGAACTAGAAATATTAGAGTCATTAGACTTCCTTATATATTGAACTTCAGGCTGCTGACATTATACTGAACCTTATGAATATAAGTTCACACACTGAGGGTGCAGATGGGGGCCACTATGCCAATTCTGGAACAGGCATATTTATTTTCCTTTCCATTAAAACATTTTTTATGGGGAGAAATGGAAAGGGAAAAGGAAAAAAAAGGAAAAGGAGCCTGGCAGGGCTTAGGATTTGGCCATTTGCTCACCACAACCGCTCCTTCTGTTGACTAAGTCAGATTGCTCTGTAGTTGATACATAGGTGGAACTCTCTGAGCCCCCATTCATAAAACTGTGCTTCTCCATTCACACAGTGAGTTCTGTGTGCACATTGAAGCATGTACAAGTACTATGAACTGAAGGCAAAGCCAGAATCATTGGGAAATCTTCAAGCAGTCCATAGTGTAAAAAGCCCATATGACCAAGAGAACAGGAAAAATAATAGAACAAAGCAATGCATGGACATAAAACTGTTCCATTATGTGTGCTTTTCATTGGATGAAATGATCAAAAATTTGTACTTGTGAAAAAGTTATAATTGTCTATGTTTTTATTTTATTTTCGATTTTCAAGGCTCTATTGCCCTCACAATTGCATGCAGGCAAATCCACACTATGCTCGAGTGATAGGATCAAGAATTTATTCTGATGTAAGTAAGATAACATATTTCTAAATCTGGAGTGTAAAATAATTGCATTTATACAATTATTTATTATTTATTTATACTAGCTTAGCAGGTGGGAAATTGAATCATTAAAAATATGTGGCTTCATTTCCAGTTTAGATCCATTGATATACATTGATTCTCTGATTTATTTTTTTTAATGTAAACAGACACTATGTTTACAAAGCTGCTTGTTGTCTGTTTTAGCCACTTGAACCAATTGTGAATCAGTATAGATACATACAGTTCAGATATATTCAGTTTCTTTCCAGTCACAGGATACTTTTACACATACTGTATCCATGTGGTAAACCCTAACAATTAAAACCTATTTCAGGATGCCACATGGCCGCAATACATATTTTGTGCTAGGAAAGATCTGAAATTGTCAAGAGGAATGTTGAAATGCAAACAGAAAGTAGACCACACAACACAAGCGGACTAAGAAAAGCCAAAGCAAGAAAGATTTCACTGACTGGCTGTTCTCCTCAGCTGACTGTGACTCCATTCATACACTTACATGTCTCAGTTGCTGTTGGCAGCCGTCTCCCTCAGGAGACAATGGGGGAGTGCGCCTTTGGGGGTAGAGCCAAACTGTTGGAAGGTTACACCACCTGCTGTGGCTCTAGAGACTGAAGTGGAAGAGACATGTTTTGTTGCAGCCAGGGCAGATGAAGGTGTCCAGTTGTGCTGCTGCAGATGCACCATGGCGTTTCTTCTCTCTGAACTCCTCCCAGCCATCATTTCTGACCTTTAAAGCCCTAAATGGCCTCAGTCCAGCATACCTGAAGGAGCATTTGCACCCCCATCGTTCAGCCTGGACACTGAGGTCCAGCATCGAGGGCCTTCTGTTGGTTCCCTCGCTGTGAGAAGCCAAGTTACAGGGAACCAGGCAGAGGGCCTTCTCGGTAGTGGCACCTGCCCTGTGGAACGCCCTCCCGCCAGATGTCAAAGAGAAAAACAACTACCAGACTTTTAGAAGACATCTGAAGGCAGCCCTGTTTAGGGAAGCTTTTAATGTTTAATAGACTATTGTATTTGTTAAGTTGTGGGCGAACATATCAGACGACACAGCGATTCTTCCAAAGCAGCTCTTTATTTGTAAGCTGGAACAGAACTGAACTGAGGAGCTCAGTCAGCCTGCTTATATAGAGCTCCACTAGAATGCAACAGTAACCATTTTCTGTAACTAGCCAATCACTGAATGTCACTTTCGATCCTTCATTTGCATACAAACTATCCAATCACTGAATGCCACTTTCGATCCTTCATTTGCATAACTATCTACAGTATCCCCCTGCTGGCCCAGGGTGAGAACTTCGGTACATAACAGTATTTTAATATTTTGTTGGACGCCAGATGGGCGGGGTATAAATAATATGTTGTTGTTGTTGTTGTTGTTGTTGTTGTTGTTGTAGTAGTAGTACTCCAGCCATTGCTATGGATACACGACTTAACTGCCTGTCTCCAAGTTGTCTGCAAGGGATTCCCACATGGTGGGGTTGATGTTACATGTCACTTTGGCAGACATCTTTGTAACACAGAGTTGGTCTACCAATTGGCCTGGTGCTGGAAGCCAGCTCCCCGTAGAGAACGTCCTTGGGGATCTTGCCATCTTCCATTCTGTAGACATGACCAAGCCAGCATAGATGTCACTGAAACAGGAGTCTCAGTAGTGACTGGCTATATCACTATGCAGTACCCTCCAGATGTTTTGGATTACAGCTTCCATCAGCTCCAGCCAATATGATAGAAGTTGT